AATGTTTCTAATATTATAGCGGTTATTTCGTTTAAAAGAGCGTATTAATAAAATCTAGTGTGCCATGTCATGACATTCTAGGACAGAAACAAGAAGATAAACTAAAATAAATCAGTGCAAACCGTTGAAATCGCGTCGTTCACAAGATAGTTTTCCAATCTTTTTCCTTGAGGATTATCAAGAAGTCCTCTGGGGATTTTTGATATCATAAAGAATTTCAAATCAGATGCAAAAGGCCTTGACACTTTTTCAATAACGATGATCAAAATTAGTTTGCCAACAATATTCTATCAGATATTGCACATAGTGCTATCGTTACTAACACCAAAAATGCCTAAGCCAACTGATGTTATGCAACTTAGAGCTATAAGGCTTGCCTATGTTATCTAAAATTTTAGAAAAGGCGGTGTAGATGCAATCATATGTTGAAGATAATGGTAGTATTTCTCTTAACTAATCAGAATTTAGGAAGCACCACAGTACATCCTCTGTGCTTCTGAATCTGTACGATAATGTTATCCAAGCTATGAGAAAAAATATGGCGATATCTCTAGTCTCAATAGATTAGTATAATTCTTTTCATATGATCAATTACCAATTCTTGCTTTGCAAATTACATTTTATATATATATATATATATATGTATATATAGGTGAAAAATTAAAGCTTCCGCTTTTTGTTGGGTACTTCGACAAGATTTAAGCAAAGAGGACTCTTTATACTTTTTTAATTCTCTCTAGCTTTCAATGGACTTTGCCATCATCATCAGGAGCTGCAATTACAATGATAACAGTAGCAACAAAGGTGTAAAATGAATTTAAATTGACTCAACTTACAGTAGTATGTGAGAATGTTGCTAATTGTTGTTTACGCATATGATGAGGGAAACGTCCAGTAACATGGTGAGAGCTGAATAGGTTGCACAATAGTCAAAATTTATACAAAACATGACAAGAACACGTTAAAAACAGATTAAAAATTATTTAAAAATTAGAACATTACATCGTGAAACCACCTGATGATTGCACAAATTAGTGGTCATGGAATGATGAATTGATGAGTGACATGAAACCCTTTGACAGAAGGCCGAAGGATGTCAATGTCAGTATTAAAAGATGGAACGAATTGTGGGCGTGTGCCAAAAACGTTGCCAAATCACTTCAGATGAAGAGATTTACAGAATTTTATGATGGAATTTGTGTTTTGTATAAATTTTGACTATTGTGCAACCTATTCAGCTCTCACCATGTTACTGGACGTTTCCCTCATCATATGCGTAAACAACAATTAGCAACATTCTCACATACTACTGTAAGTTGAGTCAATTTAAATTCATTTTACACCTTTGTTGCTACTGTTATCATTGTAATTGCAGCTCCTGATGATGATGGCAAAGTCCATTGAAAGCTAGAGAGAATTAAAAAAGTATAAAGAGTCCTCTTTGCTTAAATCTTGTCGAAGTACCCAACAAAAAGCGGAAGCTTTAATTTTTCACCTAACTGGTCTAGACGACAATGACCACGTCTCAAGTTATGTATATATATATATATGTATATATATATGTATATATATATGTAGATTCTGATGGATCGGTCCTCCACTCATGGGCTTTTTAGAGTCGATAGGTCCTCCGCTCTGATAGGTCCTCCGTATAAGGAGGACCTATCGCAAATTCCACCTATCGGCCCCTCAGGCCCCCCTCTGTCACCTGGCAAAATTTCAGAGGGATGACCTAGATCATGTTTTTCGCCGAATTTGGGTACCGTAGTTCAGGGTTTTGCCGCGCCGATTTGGTGGACTCACGATCGCTTGGGTATTCAGCCCGTATATTATCAAATATTACCAGTCAGGTCTACAGTGGATCGGTCATCTGCCGGGTATTCAGTATCCAGATTATCGCTTTTAGATCCTCCTTAATATTGGCATCGCTGTATTAGGTATTTTATTATATTTGCTGTGTTAGAGGATCGGCTTTTCACCTTTCTATGTCTGGTGCGGCCCAGTTCGCCGTCAGGCATTATAATAGGGGCGTCCGTGACCGAGAGTACCGTAATGCAGCAATAATATATTTGTTCGATTACTATCATTATTAATATAATTATGATTACGATTATGGTTGTGATTATGATTATGATTACGATTATTATTACTAGTTTTCGGAAAAAAATGTTTTTCCAATCAGGTTTTAGACTCATAACAAGTCGATTTGACATAAGTCACCTCTATGCAAAAGTGCTTCGTTTATTTGCCAACTAGATTTTTACGCTTGATGTGTTAAAACATTTTTTTAGAAACCAGCCCCAAAAAAGGTTTTTTTTTCTCGAAAACTATGAAAGATATCTCGTTTTAATGAGAGACAAAGGATGGAATAAATAAAAAAATCGGTCATGAGGAAAGTTGGGAAAAATTCTGCTACAATTTATGTAGGTGTGGGGGTAGTTTTCACCCTTCCAAAAAGCTCTGGAGTTTTTCGTAAAAGGCAAATATTAGAACGCTGAGCAGAGCATATGTGTTCCAAATTTCATTAAAATCGACCTACCGGCTTTTGAAATATCTTGGAAAACGTGTTTTTAAAAGAAAACTTTGATGCCCCCTAACGAAGCACCTTCGAATACAGATAACTTATGTGCAATCGACTTGTTCTCAGTCTGAAAATAACTAGTAATCTCACGTCCATGGAATATTGGGTCACGATGTGTACAATACATGATTATATGAACAAAGAGCAAAGTTTAGCGTAAAGCTACTCAAGCTAAATTAAAAAGGGTAATATAGATAGACCATTATGCAAATACAACCACATGAATAGAAAATCAAGGATGGTGTAGTATTAAGGAAAAATGTTCACAAAAAAACACTCTCAAATATGATAAAGGTGATGCTCAAATCCAATTTCCTATAGAATAAAATAAAAACAAATATGCTAATCCTAGTTTTACAATTTAAAAAATATGCTTTTACTTACCGCGCCTATTGGCAGGGAATTAATGTAATCACAAAAAATTCGCTTTAGCTGCAGTGGTTGCAGAGTGGTCAACAAACGAAGAGAAAATTGCATAAACTTCGCTTTCGGACAATGACCTACATTTTTCAACATTTTGTGCTTTGACAACCACGCGGTTATAGGAGCGAAGGATAAACGCAAATAATATCGGTATGAATTTTATTTACGAAAATACATAAGAAGAAAACTGAATTTATACATTGACAAAATGAAACTACTAAAAAATGCTTATACTTAGTTTGTGATACATATGTTCATACTTAATTTCTACTTTATTAAAAAAACGGGTTCGCTCATAAATTGAGATGGTATTCATTTTTTCTTTCGGTACTGGTTCTGGATGAAAACTTTGATTTTTAGCCAGTCCTTATTATGTAATAATTCAGTATGACTTGCGATGAGGTTATCGCATTCAGCCTTTTTTGGGGCCCTCTTAGATTTAATGTGATTTCCAAAGTGAACCAAGACTAAATTTTTCTGATCTTCAGTCCAAGGAACTAGAACCCTGGACTTTTTCTTTGGTAACGTTATATCCACTTGCTGAGATTCCGGATCTGGATGCGGTTCTTGGATATCTTCATATTGGCATAGAGGCTCTGGGTGGTTATCATCCTGCTGCGCTTCTGATATCAAATTCTCGTCTAGATTCAAATTAATTTCGTCCAGGGATTTTCCTTTGAAATGACCTGCCTCGCCCTTCTCCATCAACGTCAAAATCTTGGAGAGTCTAGCCGTTTGGTAGACGTCATCTGGTAATCGGTATGATGCACGGTGGATACCTAGTGTATGTCCCATAAAAGATGCGAGTTGTTCCATGTCATTTTCTGACATGTTGAACAATTGAGTCAAGGTTGCCAAGTGCTTTCTCAGACGGGTGCTAGTCAGAGCATGCGGATTTTTCGCTTGACATAACGACGCATACTTTTTGATTACCTTGTAACCAATAATGGGTTCTTGGGAGTTAGGTTTACCGAAAAGATATATGTTCGACACCGTCTGAATATTATCTCTACACTCTAGTATTAGATTCAAGTGATCCTGTACATCCTTGCTTATAAGAACTGGAACACCTCTGCCTCTTTTTCCACGGATTACTATTCGTTTGAAAGATCTCATTAGAATTCTCTCGGTTTCTGTTATTGCTTCTGAAAACTCCTCATAGGCTTGATTGTGTTCCTCAGATATAGCGGATTTGTAAACATGTATGGGAAGTCGTTGTAGTTCTCCAGGCCGCCTCCTATTTAATAAAAGCAACCTACAATAAACTGTCTCGAGTAAAGACGTGTATGCTTTTTCATTGCTTGGATTTTTTTGTAGCATTGATACCTGATTTGCAGCTACTTTCATGAGGTAATCCTTCAATAGTTTGAGATCAGTAGCTAACGGTACCAAAGTGACCTTATTCCATTTTTTTAGGTTGAGGTCATTAGCAGCATTGGTTGAAATATCGAATCGCCAATTTGCCTCTATGAGTTGGATGCATGTTTTTATATCTGCCTCAACGTTTGCATTATCTACTGTTGGCAGTGACTTAGATTTTTTTAGAACGTGTAAAAGAGCCACATCGCAACATTGTTTTAAGGTTGTACCCATGTTCATAGCATATGTGGGGGATTTATAAGTTTGGCTTTCGTCATCATATCCTGATGTTAATTTAGTTGCTTTCACAAGTATGTCATATTTGTGTGGTTTTAGAGCATCAAATAGGGTAACCACAGACAAATCTAATTTTTTTATCTCCATTAGAAGTCGAGCCAATTCTCTCATTTTCCTAGAAACGACTTGGACAAAATGTAGCTCCCTATGGAGTTTCAGATATCGGGAAGCAAACGCACATATTAATTTATCATTTTTCGCAACCAATGAAACTTTGTCAGGTCTCATGCGAGGAAATACTTTTACTTTGAGCTCAATATCTACCTTTATATTACCCAATAACAGAGTTTGTCCTAAAGCCTGTGATCGTTTGCCCGACGATCCCTTCTCCGGGTTTGCATCACATTGTTTGCGATGACGCCATAAGTTCTTTGCAGAATAGTAACCCATACAGTGGATGCATGGAAGATATTCCGTTTTTTTCCGCACCTTTTCTAACAGGTTTTATCCCCTCTCCCCTCAAAGGCGTAGAGTTGATAAATTTACCCTTTTTCCTTAGAGCAAAAAGCAGTTGTTGCCTTTTACGGCTTAAAACAGGTAAAGCTAGAAATTCTTGTACCTCAATTTCATTCGTATGGTTTCTTTTCAAATGACGTGGAAAATGAAAAACCTCACATTCACAAAAACAACAGAAAACTGTAACTTTTTTCTTCTTTCCTGACAGTCCAGTATTCACTGATGAAGAACCAGACTGACTGGGTGCAGACTGATCACATTCTGCGGTGGGAATTGATTCAGCTTTTGCATGTATAGTAACATTCTTCTTGACACTTGCCGAATGTAAGTTGTCTCTGGCCTCATCGCTCCTGTCCAGTTCCTCGTCCTTTCAAAAGAAAAATAAATATAAATACAATAAATGCATAAGCATCGCGACAGGTGGACAGTACTTATACTTATCATTGGAGGCGTATCAAATGAAATGTTCAGTGAATAGTGTTAGTATTGACGTTCAATTTTGTATGTTGTTTCATTGATCAATTCATAAAATATCATGCCGTCTATGCTAAGGAATGACCATTGTTTTTCAACCACATTTCCCTCTTTCGTCTCTGGCCTTCTCTCACTTGCCAAGCAATAAGCGGAGAACCTTATCCTGAGCAAAGTTGTTCCAGTAAAAATAGATTTTATTATACCTATTTGGAAAAATGGCATCAAGCAGGCTGACTCTATACTTCCTACGCCTTCAAGATGGCTCTTAGTGCAATTTCCAATATAGTGCAATTGAATCTATTAATCTGCTGTCAAAAATAGTGGTTACAATTTGAATTCAAAGTTTTTACTTATAGATGATATCTAAGGTTTAGGTGATATTTAAGGGCATCAAAATCACTCCTTTATACTGAACTTCAAATTCAGATTGTAACCGTCATTTTTGAAAGCAAATTTATAGACTCGATTGCACTATATTGAAAATTGCACTAAAAGCTGTCTCTAAGGGGTAGGACGTATAGAGTCAACCTACTTGACACCATTTTTTCAAATAGGTATAATAAAATCTATTTTTACAGTAAAAACTTCGCTCAGAGATAAGCTTTGTCGCTTGTTGTTTGGCAAGTGAGAGAAGGCCAGAGACGAAAGAGTTTTTAATCCCTCCAAAAATGTTTTTGAAAATGATCGGGATTCTCTGAAACGTCAAATACGAAGTTTTTTGAACGTTTTTTTGAATATCTACATTTACCTGTTTTGATCCGTAAAAGGCAACAACTGCTTTTTGCTCTAAGGAAAAATCATAATTTTATCGCCTTCGGAGGTCGAGGGGGTAAAACCTGTTAGAAAAGGTGTGGAAAAACGGAATCATGCATCCACTATATGGGTTACTATTTTGCCAAGAACTTATGGCGTCATCGCAAACAATGTGATGCAAACCCGGAGAAGGGATCGTCGGGCAAACGATCACAGACTTTAGGACAAACTTTGTTATTGAATAATATAAAGGTAGATAATGAGCTCAAAGCAAAAGCATTTCATCGCATGAGACCTGACAAAGTTTCAAGTTGCAAAAGATGATAATATGTGCGCATGCTTGCTGATATCTGAAACTTCACAGGGAACTACAATTTGTCCAAGTCGTTTCTAGGAAAATGGGAGAAGTGGCTTGACTTCTAATGGAATTAGATTTGTCTGTGATTACCCTATTGATTGCTATAAAAACACATAGATATGACATACTTGTGAAAGCAACTAAGTTAACATCAGGATATGATGATGAAAGCCAAGCTTATAGATCCCCGACATATGCTATGAACATGGGTACAACCTTGAAAAAATGTTGCGGTGTGGCTCTTTTACACGTTTTGAAAAAAATCTGAGTCACTGCCAACAGTAGATAATGCAAACATTGGTTCCATTAGCTAGTGATCTTAAACTATTGAAGGATTATCTTATGAAAGTAGCTGCAAATCAGGTGTCAGTGCTACAAAAAGTTCAGGTAATGAAAAAGCATGCACGTCTTGACTGGAGACAGTTTAATGTAGGATGCTTTCATTAAAGAGGAGGCGGCCTGGAAAACTACAACGACTTCCCATAAATGTTTACAAATCCGCTATATCTGACGAACACAATCAAGCCTATAAGGAGTTTTCGGAAGCAATAACGGAAACCGAGAGAATTCTAATGAGATCTAACAAACGAATGGAAATTCGTGGAAAAAGAGGCAGAGGTGTTCCAGTTCTTATAAGCAAGGATGTACATGAGCACTTGAATCTAAAACTAGAGTGTAAAGATAATATTCAGACGGTGTCGAACATAAATCTTTTCGGTAAACCCAATTCATAAGAACCTATCATCGGTTACAAATCCGCATGCCCTGACTAGCACCCGTCTGAGAAAGGTCATAGCAACTTTGACCCAATTGTTAAACATGTCAGAAAATGACGTGGAACAACTCGCATCTTTTATGGGACATACACTAGGTATCCACCGTGCATGATACCGATTACCAGATGATGTCTACCAAACGGCTAGACTCTCCAAGATTTTGACGTTGATAGACAAGGGCGAGGCAGGTCATTTCAAAGAAAAATCCCTAGAAAAAATTGAATTGAATCTGGACGAGAATTTGATATCAGAAGCGCAGCAGGATAATGACCACCCAGAGCCTCTATATCAATATGAAGAAATCCAAGAACCGCATCCAGATTCGGAATCTCAACAAGTGGATGAAACGTTACCGAAGAAAAAGACCGGTTCTTGTTCCTTGGACTGAAGATCAGAAAACTGACAAGGAAGTATTCTAAAGTATTTTCATGTTATATGACATGTAGATCACTCATTTCCGTCAGTCTGTCCGCCGCTCTGCTGCTGTGTCGAGTCCTTGATTACTTGAGGGGGAAGGTTACCACTAGACCAGGGACAGAAAAGCTACCTATATAGTTTTTAAGAGCGTTCCAGTGCCGGCGGAGAAAAAGTTAAAAACAAAAAAAGAAATCTCATAAACTTCGTTTTTTATTGTTTCAGATACTGATCATTTTTGAGAAAAAAATTTGTGGTGGAAAATTAGCGAGTTGGAGGTTGTAGAGGGTGGGACGGGTATATCTCTTTTTTATTTAGTTTAATGATACACTTCCATCCCTAGTAATTCTTCGCAATCTATTTGACACATTCTAAACATCATAGATTCCCCTCACATAGCAACGTTTTGATGGAAAAGATGTTATAGTTATTAATTGGAAAGTCGAAAAATCAAAAAATTTGAAAGTTGAAAAATATTAAAATTGTAAAATTACAAAATTAAAATATCGGATTGGCTACACAACTCCACCCAATCCAAATTTTTCAATGGGTACTTGAGTAGAATAATAGTAATATATTTACCTCAGCCTCTTCACTAGTGTGGGGACTATAATCTTCATCTTCTGCATCAGAAATTACAGAAGATGATGGTGGTGTGCAGCATATATTAGGCGAAGTAAGAGATATGAACTGAAATGAATGACATATATCAGACATGTTTCATAAAGAATACATAATATTGCTTTACCGAGCTAGATTCACTTTGGTGGTCTGGATCTTCCACTATGCTCTCGTTATTCGAGGTAACGTTGTACTGAAAAAGGTTCAATAGAATAAAAAAGTTCACAGACTAGGCAGTGAATGATTATTACCTCAGAGTCCTTGCACAAGTTACTGCAATGAACATTTTCTGATAAACCGGATATTGATGATGATGGGGGTGTACAGCATATCTTGGGGGATGTAGAAGATATTACCTAGAATAAATCATAAATATGGGAACTCTACCAAAAAAACATACTTATGTTTTACCGAGTTGCAGTCACTGTGGTCGCTGTTTTGTTTAACCACAGATGACACCTTACGTGAATCAGTAATCACTGTTTCAGAAGTCTTATCTTTTTCTTCATCTCTTGGATGCTGTGTGATAGGTGATAGACCTCTGTTACAAAACCAATTTTTGCTCATATTGAAAGGCTTTCCCTGGAAAAGTTCAAATATATTGTTTTGTAATTATTCCGTTTCAACTTAGAGAAATAATACCATTCCAAAAAATAATAGATATACAATATCGACTATCTTCAGGAAGAATACAACATGCTTGTTTTTAGTGAAAAGATATTTGATAAGAGTGCTCTCAAAAATGTCAAAAAGCCAATTATATTAGAGTAATTTTTGTCATTAGCTTTTTTCCCAATGAACTGACATCCACAAGCCATTTTTTTCCGTGCAGCAATAGTATATGTTGATTGTCAAAGTAAAATACTTTATTTTTAATTGATTCTAGTAGCAATACCAGTGAATGATGTTCGAAATTTTACCAAACTCAATAATACGTAATGTGTTATCATTAAACACTATATCCATGCATTAACACTAGAAATTTTTGAGTGTACAGATACAGGAAATAGGTATGATTTCCTGTTTTCTACGCAAATGTTTGATAAAGTCAGATATGTCAAATAGATCCGATAGAAAACCTTAGGAAATTACGATTCACTCCCTCATCAACTCCTAACCCTCAAAATTTATTTGGATAATGATCAAGAGCCCCTGAATCGTCAAAAAACAAAGTTTGAGCGATTTCTATTTTTTCGTTTGTGGCCCTTTTCTCTGACGCCACTGGACCTATTTTTAAAAGCTAAAGCTTTCTTGTCCATAGCCTCGTAGCAACCTTGTGTCTAAATTTCATCAAAGTCCCAATGGTACTTTCCACGTTATAGCAGAAATGAGTATCATGGTTTTCCGTGATCTACATGTCATATAGCATCCAACAAAACATAATACCTCACTTTCAAAATATCTTGCGATTACAATACTTCCTCGACCGTTGACGTGGGAAGTAAAACATGATATCTCTGATTTGCAATTTTAGATTTAGAATTTTATCACCCCGCTACTGTACCATATAGGAAATAATCAACACAATCTCCCGTTTAAAATTATCATTGTCTACATATAAAGTCGAGCTACTTGACACCGTGAGTCAAAAGCACAGTCTGTAGTGATTTTGTATTATAATGCAAAAAACGGAATCAGTACATATACAGGTATGTACCCTAAAAAAGATGTAAAGCAGCAGCTAGAAAAAAGCCAAAATGAGCTTTGATTGAAGTATTCTATTTTTAAATTTTCAGTGATGTATGGTCACACTCAATCTACTTGACCCTGTTCTTTAACTTGAAAAAAAAAACATTGTAGCTTTACATTCAAGAATCACCTATACAAAACTAAACCAACAAGATTAGATAAAGTTTGGCGTAAAATTTATGGGGGTTGACCTTTTGAACAGCATTGTTTTATCCTTCACGCTACTCAATATTCATTGCTTTTCCATTAAATGTAAGTAATACAGTCATATTACCATCATATCCTATTAACGATTGCATAAGAGTTCAAAAAGTCATACTTACCTCAACAGTCCTTTCAGACACACTCTTGAATACACAACAGATTTGAACGTCCTTCCAGCACGATTGGTGCCAATAAAATGAATTCTCAGATCTTAGACAAACCGACAAACCCTATCCCCGGGCGCACGCGCTTTATTGACTGGAATTAAAATGATCGGGAGACCGATCTGACGTCAGACGTACGCCATTCAGCTAGTTCGGGTATTGTGGAGGACTCAGCACTGGTTTGCGTATTGAAGAGTATTCTTCATGGGAGATTGATCCACCAGTGTTTAGTTAATTCGAGTATTTTGGGAGACTCAGTGCTGGTTTCTTGTGAATCGTATGGTAGAAGAGTATTCTGCATGGAAGACCGATCTAGCAGTGTTTAGTAAATTCAAGTATTTTGGGAGACTCAGTGCTGGTTTCTTGTGAATCGTAGGGTAGAAGTGTATTTATTCTGCACGGAAGACCGATCTAGCAGGGTTTAGTAAATTCAAGTATTTTGGGAGACTCAGTGCTGTTTTTTTGTGAATCCGAAGGTATTTTGATGGACGATTGTATCATATGGCTTTTGGTTGGCGTGACTATATGGTTAAGTCTGAGCTATTAGAGAAAATCGTTGATATACGATTTTATTTCAAGATTAGGAATATTCTCATAGATAGATGGTACCAAACATGAATGGTGATTTCCTTATCCAAAGATAACGTCACATGATTGTAAGGCTCAGTATAGTGATTAGGTAATTCAAGTATTTTAGGATACTCAATGCTGTTTTTTGCGAACCGGAGGGCAGGGAAGTATTTCAACTGCTAATATCACAGATTTGGAAATTACGCGTCTAAAGCTTATCATCATTAGGATGTCGTCGATACGACATAGGCTATTGGAAAAGCAAAGTGCTCGATCTGAAAGTTCATACAACCTCCTGGACATGTAATAGAAAAAAGTATTCTTGATTGTGTGGGCTGCTCGATGATCTGATAATTTTTGCATAGGTAAGTTATAATTTACGAAACGTTGGGCATCCTTCTGTCGTATGCTAGCAACGTTTTGTATAGTCTTAATCGAGCAAATAGTGTACTCAAAGTTGCTGGAAAGAATTTTGGTTATATCCATTGGAGATCCTTGAAAAATAATATAATAATACAAGTCCAAGTTAGGAGACTTCAGTAGTATTATGTAAAGAGAAATAAATGAAACTTGGCACCACTGCACGGATGACTTATCTACTGGTGTTTAGTTAATTTGAGTATTCTGGGGGACCGAATGCCGTTTTGTGATCTGAAGGGTATTCCGGTAGAGGACACATCTTACGGTTTTTAAAAGGTAGACCTATATAGCGGACTTTATATGAAAATCCGAAATGTTAATGTACAGTTTTTTGAGCTGATCCTGGATCAGTTTGCCTTTTTGTTGGATATACACGAATCAAATTTGATATATATTCGATATTTCTGGTAGGTGACTTATTGCTGGGAATTGAAAGGATTACCGATCCACATGGAGATGTAAATATATATGTATATATATATATATATATATATATATCGGAGAGACAACCACAGGAGAAGTTGTAGAAATTACGTTATATGCTCCGTTGAAGTTTATTATAGAGTATTGAGACACTGTATAGGTTGGTGTAGATACGCTCAACTTCGATTCTATGTATCTAGTCTATCTATATAATATATACAGGGTTACAGGAAAAGTCGTGCTAGATCCGTTAAGGGCGTGTAGTACCCATCATTTCTGACTTATTTCATTATGAAACACCCTACCCTAAACTTAACCCTTTTCGAGATATTCAACTTTTAATGTTTTTATTGAAAATTGCCGATTTTTAGGCTACTAAATGTATTTATTTTATTTTGTGTGTGTTATTATTACTATTATTGCATTTTAACATGTGTAATAAGATGCTTTAGGACGTCAATCATTAAAATAGTCCATAAGTTAATTGAATAGGCCGTAGTAGATAAGTGAATGTTAAGAAATTGAAAAAAATATCAGAAAGTTTATTTTTCTCGAAGGGATATCTAAAAAAAATATTATGGCAATTGTTCGGCAGATGTGTTTTAAAATATCTATGTTTTATCAGCTATCTAACGAGGTATAACAATCTAGGATTTTATTTAAATGCATTGAAAAAACTTAGTTTCATAGGCGACAGTGGAGAAGAAAATTGATACTTAGCCCTAAAAAGTAAAATAAAACAATAGGTAAGCATGAAATATCATTTATTAAATCAGGTTTTCACACAACTTTTTCTTACTCTACAGTTCATGTTCAACATGGCTGCCTCTGTTTCTAATACATTGTCGCATCCTTCTACGGAGACCAGTCTTTACAACTGCAGTGGTCAACGTTGTCCTTAGTTGATTTGCTGCATCGACAATCCTTTCTCTTAATTCTTCCACAGACGAAACTGGATTTGGCTCGCTGTAGACAAGACTTTTCATGCACCCCCACACATGAAAATCCATGGGGGTTAGGTCCGGACTTCTTGCTGGCCATGGCAACGGCCCACCTCGTCCTATCCATTTGTTTGGATAATTTGTGTCCAGCCAGTCTCTGACACTTCTCCTGAAATGGGCAGGGCAGCCATCATGTTGGAACCACATGTCCCTTCTCAAGTTGAGTGGCAGATCATCCAGCAAATCTCTGAAGTCTCCTCTCAAGAAGTTTTCGTAATTTTCCCCATTTAGATTGTCAGGGAGAAAGTAAGGTCCAATCAAATGGTTGGAGATAATGCCCATCCACACATTCACGCTGAATCTTCGTTGGGACCTCGCCACTCTTTTCTTATTGGGATTCCTTAGTACTTTTGGGGCCCAGTAATGGGCGTTGTGATAGTTAGTTATGCCATCGTTATCAAATTTGGATTCATCTGTCCATAAGATATTTCTTAGAAAATCTGGGTCTTCTACGTCAGCATTTAGCATAAATCTGCTGAAGTCCAACCTTCTCGCGGGGTCTCCTTCTTCAATAGTGTGTACCGGCGTGTAATGGTACGGGTATAGGCCAGCAGTATGCACTGTAAACCACACTCTCCATTGCGAAAGTCCCAGATCACGGGCAACACGATTAGTGGAAATGGTCGGATCCGCTCGAAAGCGTTGCACTATCTCATTGTCCTGCAGTTCTTCGTTGTCATAAATTCGTGGTCTTCCCAGGTCTGTATTTCGTCTCAAAACAGAGCCAGTTTCTCGAAGTCTTAGATAAACTCTGTTAAAAACGGCCACATCCGGCACTCGACGACCGGGGAAACGAGTTCTGTATTCGTTGCGAGCTTGCGCAGATACACAATCGCAGTATCCGTAACAAATAAGCATATCAGCATATTCCTCAGGTGTGTAGGACGTCATCTTCAACACTTCCGTATCACAAGTACAAATCAGAGTCCAGTGAACAAGCACAGTATTCACAAATCAGAAGAAATAGTCCAGAATCGTAGCCAAGTCGAGGAAAAGAGCAAAACGATATCACATCTACTATGTACGAAGCACAAAAGCAGACTGACAACCAAAACAACATCCCGTGTTGGATTTCCAGCCCTAACCGGTTATTATAATATGTTTTCTTTCATTCGCACCCACA